CGACAGCGGCAGGGCCCTTGGCGCTGGCGGCCCCTCCTCTGGTTCCCAGGCTGCACACAGCACCGGCCCACGCCGCCCCGACCCTGGGGATCGAGCCTGCAGCCCGGGCATGTGCCTTGACTGGGAATCCAACCATGACCTCCTGGTTCACAGGTTGACCTCCAACCCCTGAGCCACGCCGACCGGCTCAGACAGGTTTCAACCAAAGGCTAATAGCAAAGTGACAGGCATCAGTAATCACATACATTTTTAAAAAGCCGCCCTTCATCTCTAGGCAACCCAGGATAGAAGAGGTCCCCGACTGCACTCTTTTTTACATAATTAACGGGACCTATTCTTGCCAAAATGAACGGATCCCTGGCTGGAGCCCCCGTCGTATTGCCGCACGGGCTGTACCTTGATCAGCGAGGTGGTCTGTTCGCCGACGTATTCTATCAGGTGCAGGTGCCCCAGCGCCTGGAAGAAATGGATGTCAGTGAGAATCAGTTAAAACGGAGGACACATCCAGATTTTCAAAAGCCATGTCTCTAGCCCCGGCCGGGGTGGCTCAGTGGGTTGGGCACCGTCCCGTGCACCTAGAGGTCGGGGTTCGATTCCCGGTCGGGGCACAGGCCCGGGTTGGGGGCTCGATCCCCAGTGGGGGGCGTGCAGGAGGCGGCCGACCCATGATTCTCTCTCATCATTGATGTTTCTATCTCTCTCCCTCTCCCTGCCTCCCTGAAATCAATAAAAATATATTTTAAAAAGAAAAGAAAAAGAACACAGCTCAGCCCCACCAGCTCCTGCCCCAGAAAGAGACAAACCCAAGTGAGGACAGAGGGCCAGCCAGACCCACCAACTTCCCTCGGCCGCCAGCAGAGGGCGCCCTTGGATAAGAATTGGTGCTTGTGGGGGTTTTTTTTGTTGTTTTGTTTTGTTCATCCTCACCCGCCGGTATTCTTCCTGAGGATATTTTTTGGCATTACTTTGTCTTTTATTTATTTGTTTTTAAATTCATTGTTGTTGAATGTGTTACATACGTCTCCTTTCCCCTACTGACCTCTCCCGGCCACTCCCACCCCGCCCAAGGGTTTTTTTTAATTTTTATTTTTTGTTAATCCTCATCAGAGGATATTTCCCCGTTGATTTTCAGGGAGAATGGAAGAGAGAGGGAAAGACAGAAGCATCCACGTGAGAGAGACACATCGATGGGTTGGTTGCCTCCTGCACGCGCCCCGACCAAGGGCCTAGGCCGGGGAGTAGCCTGCAACCGAGGTACGTGCCCTTGACCGGAATTGAACCCGGGACCTTCTATCCACCGAGCCGAACCGGCTGGGGCGCCATTGATTTTTAGAGAGAGTGGAAGGGAGGGTTCAGAGAGAGAGAGAGAGAGAAACATCTTACATTGATTGTCTCCCGCACTCGCCTCGACCGGGGCTTGAACCTGCAACCCAGGTACCTGCCCTTGACCAGGAATCAACCACCTTCGCGCAGGGACGGATGCTCTAACCACTGAGCATACCAGCCAGAGCAGGACTTGTTTTTTGTGTTTTTTTGTTTTGTTTTAAAGGCAAACCCAATCGCATTAAATTCACCAGAGAAATCGGAAGTCATGTGTACAGAGCTAGCAAGGAAACATCAAGCATCGGAATTTCACACATGTCGACTGAGCAAGATTCCCGTCTCCATGAAGCAGGAGAGAACTTCGAGTCCAGACTTCAACCCGAATGAGACACGCTCCAGCAGGCATTTGAAAACACAGCATCCCCCCCTCTGCCCCGTAAAATCAGAAACAGGGCACAGAAATGGACAGAATACAGGGGGAAATAAAGAGAGAGAGCGGATCGGCCTTACAAACAAACCTTTTAGAAGTCCAGAGATTTCTCAGGAATGAGGGGAAAGTTACAGGGGGCCCACAGGACTATAGATGTAAATAAACATGAAGTCAGGGGCACTGAAGAAAGGCATCGAAACAGCCAGGAGAGCCCTGGCCGGGTGGCTCAGCTGGTTGGGGCACCATCCCCTGCACCCAAAGGTTGAGGGTTCGATTCCTGGTCAGGGCACAGGCCCGGGTTGTGGGCTCCATCCCCAGTGCGGGGCGTGCAGGAGGCAGCCGGTCCATGATTCTCTCTCATCATGGATGTTTCTCTCTCTCTCTCCCCCTGTCCCTTCCTCTCTGAAATCAATACAGATGTATATTTAAAAAAACAACAACTCGGTAAAAGGTCGTTCTTCCTGGTCAGGGCACAGGCCCGGGTTGTGGGCTCCATCCCCAGTGCGGGGCGTGCAGGAGGCAGCCGGTCCATGATTCTCTCTCATCATGGATGTTTCTCTCTCTCTCTCCCTGTCCCTTCCTCTCTGAAATCAATACAGATATATATTTAAAAACAACAACTCGGTAAAAGGTCGTTGTGCAGAAGCCGGGAAGCCTCACCTCCATCAGCACGAAGAGGGCTGCGAAGAACAGCAGCGTCGCCCACTCCACTCGGTGCAGAACGACCTCGAAGTCGTGGACGTCCGCTAAGATCAGCAGCCAGACGGCGCCCAGAATGGCGATCCACCCTGCAAGGCAAACAAGGGGCTTGTGGCCGGAGTCCAGCTGCTCACTCGCCCGTTAACGTTTCACCGAGCGATCGCCTTTTTCCTCATGCGGACAACTCACCCTGCAAACCGAACGGGTTTTAAATGTACGGTTTGTATTTGGGGTCATTACATGCCCACGAAACCAACACTACAGCCAAGACAGTGAACACACGGCCTGGCCGGTGGGGCTCCGTGGTTGAGCTTTGACCGATGAACCAGGAGGTCACGGTTCCCGGGTTGTGGGCTCGATCCCCAGCGTGGAGGCAGCCGATCGATGATTCTCTCTCGTTATCAATGTGTCTATCTCTCCCTCTCCCTTCCTCCCTGGAATCAATAATGATGCATTAACATATGCTAATGAGGCTTTTCTTCCTAATCAACCTGACTCCCTTCACTGTGAACAACAAAGATACAGGCTACATCTCCCAGGGGCCTCGGAGAGAATCTCCTGCATATGAACCAGACCTGCAAACAGAAGATTTTTTTTAAAATTAAAATTGGTGATGGTGAGTTTGTTTCTTTTTTATTTTTCTATTAATCCTCCCCCAGGGATATTTCCCCAGTGGTTTTTAGAGAGAGTGGAAGGGAGGGGGAGAGATAGAAAGAGAGAAACATCGATGTGAGAGAGACTCATCGACTGGTTTCCTCCCCGATGTGCCCCGACCGAGGCAGGGGGTCCAGCCTACAACCCAGGTGCAGGCCCCTGACCAGAATTGAACCCGAGACCCTTCAGCCCCGAGGGCCGAGGCTCCATCTGCTGAGCCAAACCAGCCAGGGCGGAAACACAAGATTTAAAAGCAGAGAAAAAGTGAACAGGCTCACAAAAAAATGAATGGGGCACCTAATACAAAGTGTTGACGTCCTGGGCTAAACACACACAGTTTTGTAGCCATCGAGGCTTTAAGCCCCAGCCGGGATGGAACCTGCAACCCAGGTAGGCGTGTGCCTTGGACCGGGAGTCGAACCCGAGAACCTTCGGTCCCTGGGCCGACGCTCTAACCACTGGGAAACCCCAGCCAGGGCTGGAACAAGCGAGAACCCTCCCCTTCCGGCCCGTGGCATCCAGGGCGACAAAGCGGGACCGCAGGGGACTCACCCAGGTCCAGGTGAACGGCAGGGACGAATGAGTTGAGGAAGAACATGCAGATCACGAACCCCAACACCATCAGGCACTTGGCCAGCAGGACCCTGTCCGAGATTCTGTGCTGGGAGAGAAGAAAGCCGTCGTCCGATTCCTGCCGTGGGGCCGGCGTGCCCGGGGCCGAATCCTTCGGGATGTCTCCCCAGGATGGAAACGGGGACATAGTGGACGGCACAGAAGATGGTGACAAAATGTGCTACAGAACGTCAGTGGCTGAGCGTCCACCTGCGAACCGGGAGGTCAGGGTCCGATTCCCCGTCGGGGCACACGCCCGGCTGCGGGCTCGAGCCCCAGTGAGGGGCGTGTAGGAGGCGGCCGATCCGCGACTCTCATCATCGATTTGTGGACAAAATACACCTACCACGTCTGGAAAAGGCTTTCCCCGGGGGCTCCTGGGAATCACTTAGGTCTAGGGTAAGACAGGGGCCACAGAGAGAGGGGACGCTCACTCAGGCCGTCCTGTGAAGCGCAGCACAGGGACCCCGGTACCTTTTTCTGCAGCTCCTGGATGTTGGTCTCCCAGTTCTTATCCTCCTGTGAGATCTGTCTGAAATGGAAGAAGGAGACGCCTCAGCTTCCTGGCAACGCTGTGGGGGGCCCGGCGTGCAGGGCACCGTCCCCGGGGACGCCCATGAGGCCAGGTCACGAGGCCCATGGGAGGCGGCCGGGGACGCCCGTTTGTGGATTGGGAAAGACGTTCGCTCTGTGTTTCCGAAGAAAAACAGCCCACAAGATGATGGGGACGCGTGATGGACCGTGTGCGAGCGTGTGCGAGCGTGTGCGAGCGTGTGCGCGAGGCTCGTCAGGACACTGGCCCGAATGTGAACGAGGGGAGGACGGTCGCCGAGCCGCCCTGTGTTCCTCCCTCACTTGTTTTCTGAATTTGTTTCTTTTCCCCCCAAAATGAGGATGTCACATAATTACAACTCGGCTAACAAAAGGACAAAACACTAAAAGCAACGCCACTCGCTCTGGGGGCAATTTCGATTCCCTGGAAATCGATGTTGAAAGACTTCCTCCCACGCCGGGCTGGTGTGGCTCAGTGGTTTGGTTCCCGGCCAGGGCACCTGCCTGGGTTGCGGGCTTGATCCCCGGAAGGGGGCGTGCAGGAGGCGGCCGATCGATGATTCTCTCTCCTCCTGGACATTTCTCTCTCTCCCCCTCCCCTCCCTTCCTCTTTCTGAAATCAGTAAAAAAATGTGTGTATATACCTATGTTTCTAAAAGGGCAGAAAATGAACTGAGTATGATCAGCTATTCTTGGGGCTCCCTGAGTCAGTCACAGGTAAAATACAGCGTTCAGTCAGCTTGTTACGTTCACTCTTTTCGAGTCTTGCTGTGCCGCGCGTGGGACGTGCGGCCGTGGGACGGGTGGCCGGGAGGTGCCTTCCGTCCCCCTGCACCCTGTCCTCGCCGTGTGACCCCGGGCACGTCGCTCACTCTCGGAGCCTGGGTTTTCTCCTCCCTAACCAGGGCTCAGCAGAGCTCAGAGAAGGCAGCGACCAACACACACCACGAGGGCGAGCACAGGGCGTGGCACGGAGGGCGCTCCCCTCTGGGCCCGTGGGGCCGCCC